GATGTCCTGAAAATTTGAATTAAACCAATCAAACTTAAAGATAAAATGCTCAACAATTTTGAAGTAAAAGACTAAACTTCAATACATAATATCCTAAAATTTTACACTAAACTCCAAACACTTTTAACTAACAAACTGAACTTCAAAGCATAATATCCTGAAGTTTTGAGCTGAAAAATTGAACTTGATGACATTTTGTCTTAAAATGAAGGAAGTAGCAACACCTAGCCCTTATTTTAAGTTATGACTAGATATTAAATAATTTTCTAACACCGAATATAATTTAAATAGCGGTTTTAAAGAGGTATTTTGACCATAAAATTTTGGAATTTAATTTGAAATTGAATCTCAAAATATTAATTTTTATTTTTAAACAAACAATATGGTGTATTCACATCAAATTACTCACAAAAAGTAAAAATTAATTCAAATTTGTATTCACATCCAAATAAAATTCTATTTTTTAAATATTATTTTTTATTTTAATAATTATTTTTTTTTTTCAAATTTGACAATAAGCATGATAACTACCTTTTTCTAATTTTGTTTTGAAATTGTGTGGCTTTTTAGGCCATTTTATTTAATAAAAAAAATAAGAATAAAATTTAGCTCAAGCTCAAGCTCAAAATAACAAACAAAATAAATCTTAACTCTAAACTCAAAAGGGCATAGCCCACTTTCCATTTTGACTCATCTATATAGCCCTTTCATTGTCCTTAGTTTGAATTCATCTCTCGCTTTAAAATAAAAATTCAATTTTAAAACCGTGTTGATTTTAATAGGAATGGGAAAAAACTCCAGCAAGAACTAGAGAAAAAATATATTTTTTGTAATTTTTTATACAAATAAATATCTGGATACTTTAGTGTGTTTTATCAATCAATCCACTTGTATCAAGTATCAACACAACTTTTGAATTGTTAATTAATGAATATATGAATATTTTTGAAACATGAATACATTTGAATGAAGCAACCAATCCTTATATACATATTGTAACAATAGTATTGTATGTTTATTCACTTTATTGGTATTTTATGTATAAGTTTATCAATTTGTAAATATATGTATCAATTATGACAGAACAATGGAGATAATTCAAGAACTATGTACGTAAATTGTATCTTATTTTTGTTAAATCGATAAGAATTCCCATGGCTAAGCGATAAATGAATAATTTTTTAAATGATAAGTTAATATGGAAAGTTTGTGAATTAAATGAACGCGATTTAAAGATGTACCGTTTTTTAAAACAGAAAATACCTTATTTAGCACCTTAAAATTGAAACTGTATAATAGCATAAAATAATAAACTTACCCTGTATACAATGAATATAGCAGGATGGCCACTTAAATATAGTTATATATTACGTAATTATAGCTACTTGAATATATTAAGGAATTTTTTACCCAAATACACATCTTATTTTATAATAATCTCTAAAAATTCTTACCATTTAAAAATAAACTTCAAAAATTCCTTCTCGGATACATCACTTCCCTCTAGTTGATGCATATCTATCCCTCTCGAATACATCCCTCCTCTCTCTGATACATCCTTCCCCTATGTATCCGGATCCTATCCCTTCTCGGATACATCCCTCCCCTCTCGGATACATTCTTCCCCTATGTATTTGGATATCCTATCTTCTCTATAATACATCCCTCCCCTCTCGGATACATCCTTCCCCTATGTATCCGGATCCTATCCCTTCTCGGATACATCCCTCCCCTCTCGGATACATCCTTCCCCTATGTATCCAGATCCTATCTCTTCTCCCTCCCCTCTCAGATACATCCTTCCCCTATGTATCCGGATCCTATCCCTTCTCTGATACATTTCTCCCCTCTCGGGCACATTCTTCCCCTATGTATTTGGATGTCCTATCTTCTCTATAATACATCCCTCCCCTCTCGGATACATCCTTCCCCTATGTATCCGGATCCTATCCCTTCTCGGATACATCCTTCCCCTATGTATCCGGATCCTATCTCTTCTCGGATACATCCCTCCCCTCTCGGATACATCCTTCCCCTATGTATCCGGATCCTATCCCTTTTCTGATACATTTCTCCCCTCTCGGGCACATTCCTTTTCTATGTATTCGGATGTCCTATCTCCTCTATAATCCATCCCTCCCCTCTCGGATACATTCATCGCCTATGTATCCTGATATATCCGAAAGTCTAGTGATGTATCCGAGATCCATAAAATTTAAGGGACTTTTGTAATTGGAAAAAGAGTAAAAAAATAATGTAATTAGTTTTAACACTATGAGATTTATGTAAATTATACTTGGAAAACAAAACTGATTTTGTTGTTGTTTAGCCCATTTTATTATTGAGAAATTTACATAAATAGTTGGCCTAATTACTTGAGTAGATCCCTTTTAAAAAATAATTACTTATTTTAAATATACTTTTTAATTATTACCATTTATAGCAATATATAACAATACTATATATTTTATTAGATTTGTCTCTCTCTCTTGCCTCTTCTCCCTTTTCTCTCTCGCTCTTTCTCCCTTTTTTTTCTTTATGTTGTTCTTTCTCTTTTGTTTTTCTTTTTGCTGCTTTTTTTTTTGTTGCTCTTTCTCTTACTTTTTTTCCCTTTCTCTCTCTCTATTTTCTTTTGTAGAGTAGTTAATGATTCGTAGACTAAATAAAATTTGTATCAATAATTAATTAATTAGGCAAGTAATCTAATCGTAACAAATGAAGAGACATAATAAATTGCAAAATGAATTAAATTTACATTAAAAATGTATTCCACAAATATTAAAGTTGAATTAGTAGAGAATTAAATATGAATGCAAAATGTAGCAAACCAAATAATAGCATTCTATGTAAATTGAATGAATTTGTATCAACAATGAATTTCACAAGTAATTCAATCGTAACAAATCAATAAATTACAAAATGAATTAAAATTGTATTTAAAAGTGTATTACACAAATATTAAACAAGTAAATAAATTAAATTTGCTTTAAAATTGTATTACACGATATTAAAGTTGAATTAGAAGAGAAAATTAAGAACGAATGAAAATCATAACTAACGAAAGACAAGACACCGATCTATAAACTGAATTAAATTTGTATTATTCATGAATAAAACATGTATTATAGGTCTTATAAATTATTTTGGATTTGTATCACTAAGAACGAAAGTGATGTTTGCAATATGTATTAAAGATGTATTGTGCATATATTATAAGTGTGTTACCTAAATTGTTTTAGTTGATATCATTAAAAAGGGAGTGAAATTTGCAATATGTATTATAAATATAGGATGTATTGTTCATGTTTTTTATACAATTTTAATACAATTATGAAACATATCTAATACAACTTTAATACAAACCCGATATAGTTCCATAAACTTCATCCTTTTCGTGCTTCAATCTAGTATTTCTCCTAAAATCAATTCTAAACTTAATCAAACCCTCTTAAAATTGAGATATAAACTCCAAAAGATATTTTCAATTATTTGTAGGAACTACCTATTCAAACTAATCGCAAACGAAAGAGCAGACAAGTAATCTAATCATAACAAATGAAGAAACATAATAAACTGCCGAATGAATTAAAGTTGAATTAAAAATGTATTACACACATATTAAAGTTGAATTAGAAGCAAATTAAACATGAATGCAAAATGTAGCAAATTAAAGAGCATTATGTGATTTGTAAACTAAATAAAACTTGTATCAATAATGAAATAATCAAGTAATTCAATCGTAACAAATCAACCAATAAACTGCAAAATGAATTAACTTGTATTAAAAGTGTATTACACAAATATTAAAATTGAATTAGAAGAGAGAATTAAGCACGAATAAAAAATGTAACTAATGAAAGAGCAGCCAATGATCTACAAAGTGAATTAAACTTATATAAAAAAATGAATTAAACAAGTAATCTAATAGTAACAAATAATAAACTACAAAATGAATTAAATTTGCATTAAAAGTGTATACACAATATTAAAGTTGAATTAGAAGAGAAAATTAAGAATAAATGAAAAACGTAACTAACGAAAGACAAGACAATAATCTATAGACTGAATTAAACTTGTATTATTCATGAATAATACATGTATTATATGTGTTATAAATTATTTTGGTTTGTATCACTAAGAACATGAGTGATGTTTGCAATATATATTTAAAATGTAGTGTGCATGTATTATAAATGTATTATTAAGTGTGTTACCTAAATCATTTGGTTGGTATCACTAAGAAGAGAGTAAAGTTTGCAATATGTATTATAAATGTATTGTTCATGATTTTAATACAACTATAAAACATATCTAATTCAACTTTAATACAATTGCGATATAGTTCCATAAACTTTACCTTTTTTGAGTTTCAATCTTATATTTCTCCTAAAATCAATTATAAACTTAACTGAACCCTCTTAAAATTGAGATATAAACTTTAAACTGCATTTTCAATTATTTATAGGATCAACCTATCCAAACTAATCACGAGTTCGTAAGATTCATAAAATGAATTCAAAATTTGAAGCTTTATAGTGACCATCAATGGTGAATTCTTGCTGCTGTAATTTTAGAGATTTGAAATTTTTGTTTGAGAATATGATATTATAAAAAAAAAACTATTTTTTATTTCTCTTCTCGTCGTGTTTTTGGATAAAAATTGATTTGAGAATAATTATTTAAATGAAAATTTTAAAAGAAGAAGAATAATAAAAAAAAAGAAGAGGAGGAAGAGAGAGAATAACACAGAAAGAGACGAAAAGAAGAAAAATAAAAAGAAGAAGATGAGGAAGAGAAAAAGGACGGAGAAAGAGGCGAAGCGGCAATTTTTTAATCCAAAAAATTGTTATATTAAGTTAGAAAAATTATATTGCCATAGATGATAAATATTTTCCTAATATAGCATATTTATGTGATTTTCCCAATATAGCTTAAAGGTTAATATATGTCCATTCTTTCATTGGGCCTGAGATTTCATTACACAAAGAGCCACACTTAGTTTTGGCCCATCTTATAAATACACCTTTCTACCTTCTCACCAACAAGCTATAGCTTAGCTGCCATATTTTCCATCAACACTCTCAATCCGAAAACCTAACTACGAAATATGAGGCAATTCGATCCATGGCCTGTTTTCTTCCGCCGTGAATGGAGCCGTAACTGGCCGTTCCTTGTTGGTTTCGCCGTCACCGGCGCTATCATCACCAAGATGTCCCTTGGTTTCACTGGTGAGCACATCGTGTAATATTAATTTCCATATGTAGGCTGTGTTTTTTTTTATTGATCGGATCTGATTTTGATCTACGTAATGGTTGATTTTTGTAGAGGAAGATAGGAAGAACTCTCGATTTGCGCAGAGGCACAAGAAGTAAGTTTAGTCATTGGTTGAAAATTTGATTTTGTAGATCTATCTCTTATTCCGTATTGATTTGACTCTTTGATTGTGAATCGATGAATAGTCTATTATGATTGAATTGCTTGCTGGCCTCGTTAAATTGTTTGTGTGTTTTTAGTTTGTTAATGAATGGTCAACGTAGTTTGCTTTACGGGCTTAGTTAATAGCCCTAATTTGTTAGGCAGTAGTTTGAGACTAATCCGTTGTTCATATCATTATAGTACACACGGTTTTATGTGAACAGTAGAAGAGAGAACGATGAAGTGTTTATGGAGCTGTATTTCAATAGGTTATTTGTACATGAAGAGGGATAGTAGAAGGTGTGTGACTTGTTAGGTTTTGCAACCTTCTGACTGTTAATACAACAAGGAGAGGGATAATGCGAAAAAATGATCCTAAGCTTTAGGTGTAGGATTCTGTATGTGAATTGGGACTTAATGGTCAAGTAGGATTTTCTCACAAAGTATGACATTATGAGATCTAGAAATGAAAATTTGAAGGAAGCTGTGTAGAAATTGGTATAATAAAGAGGAGGAGGTTAAAGAACTGATGTTGATAATTGAATGAGGATAGTAGGCTCTGTAACAGAAATTTTCCTGTTAAAAACAGGAGGAACCATGCATTCAACAATATATCTGACTGTAAATATTGTAGGGTCCAGTAATTTGTGAAATAGCAATAGACCTCTAGTGCAATGAGATGAAAACCTTAGGATGAATGACTAACACAATAGATGAATAGATTTAGCTGTTAATATCAATTATATTTTCAAGGGTTTAAACCACTCTGAGAGATGGGGGGTGGTTTGCTTTACATGCCATACTGCCATTTTTCCTTTATATCTTTTTATGTGCATGCCATGCAAACTTTCACACTAACGATTGTTTGAACAATAAACTCTTAGCAACATCTGTTTAGGAATCTGAGTAGTATGCTCCATCATTAGTTTAGCGAAAGATAAAATAGGTTGTGGATGAACCCAGTACAACTGATCCAAATGCTCCACCAACAGAGAACCCAAAGGCTCTATCAATATTGTAGTTGAACCTCGTCAAATATTTAATGCGCATTATAACTTTGCTATGACCATTTCGTTCTCCTTGAACTGTCTTGCTCAAAAAGATTGAATTGATACTTACAGACATCTTACAGTAATTGGAAAATATGATTTTATGTTGCTGAATGACCTAAGCAATGGATTCAGTTGCTCTCCTTAAGGTCTGAACCAATCTGAATTTTGTGGATGTGAAAATATTTTTTCTGCTAACTGTAGCGGTGGATCCAGATTTTATAACTTGATAGGTTTAAGCTGGCACTTAGATCACAATAGTTTTAAGATTATTGAAATTTTGTTGTTTTCCACTTATATATCTATGCTCCGTGCATTCAATTTTACCTGTACCACTAATGCTACATCTGCCACTAGATGACTGTAGATGGGCGGATAATCTCTAGTGGATATTTTGTGGCATTACCATTTATTTTTCTGTTCTCTTCCTAATTTGTGAAAGAAATTACATCCTCATTTATGTTCTGTATTTCTGCATTGAAGTCAGTTTTATTTGTACTCATTTAGTTTTGTCATTGAACTCGTTAGTCTACTCTTTTTTGCATTTCAAATCTGAAAATCTAAGCTGTGGTTTCTTCTTTCTTGCAGTTGACTCTGTACATGCTCAGTCTTCTTGCTTAAATGGAGGCTACTTAGACGGCCCTTTTCCTTTTTCTATGTACTTCCTTTTCTAAACTGTCAAAGATTGATACATGTTGCATAAAATCCCTCATTTTGGGATAAATTCGGAAGCTGTCTATGAACTAAAAACCGTATTTGTTTGCTGGGACTGCTTATCTTGCGTTAATAGTTATAGATGGCTCCACCTTTTAAATGTAAAATTTACCTGAGTTTTGAAGCTTCTGAATTTTTCATACTAATAAAGATCTTTTTTTTTTTCATTCAATATTTCCCAGTATTAAAGCCACACGTTAGGTCTTAGTAAACCGCTTGTGTTGGTCGTTCTTGGTTTTCTATCAATCGTTTAATTGAGAACCTGGGCAAGTTGGTTTTCTATCTGCTGTTGCTATTGCTTTAAAGACCTAGTCAAGCAGAAACATATTTTTTACAGCAGAGTCTTGTGTTTTTGAAAAGAATACGTCAAGATAAACTATATGTTGTGCACATGGATAAACATACGAAAAATCCTCTGGAGCAAACAATTAATACACCCCCCAAAAGAATGACATTTCTTTTGACTTAAACTAAAGGCAGCTCCATTTTAGCAAATTTAAAGAATTCTAAAATTTTATTTAAGAGACTAAAATGATGTTCGAGGTTATATTTAATGGATAAAAATAGTCCTACTCCAATCAGTAAGAGAAAACTAGGCTAAAAACTCTTAGGCATGCTTGAAAAACCATCATGTAATTGAATTTAGGTATAGTTATATAATTTTAACATATTTGTAATTAGGTCAGAGTGTAACTTGGGAGAGTGATTCTATATTGTTATTTATTTATTTTGGGTTGTAGATGAGAATTGCCGGTAATTATAATGTTATTTTTTTTCTTTTATATTTTTTTATTTTTAAAAATTATATTTTATTGCTCAATCTTTACTTCTTTTTTATTCCAAGTAATTATTCTTTTTTATTATTATTTTTTTCATTTAGTGTAATTGTGTTATTTTTCTAATTTTGGAAACTACAATTCTTAACATTAGAAAAGTCATTAACAAATTTGACATATAATAATTAATGTCATTAAATTATAATAATTTCGTTATTAAATGAGGTTATAGACGTACATTTTTCTTTTCTCTTAAATTATATATATTACTTAAGTTTTGTTGAAACTTGTTTTATGTTATGTTGAAATTTGACATAAGAATATTATGTAAATTTTTTTCTTTTTCAAGGAATTTATGTTATTCTTTTGCTTTAATAGTATTGATAAGAGTATTACGTAATTTTTTTTTCTTTTTCAAGGAATTTATGTTATACTTTTTATTTCAATTCTTTTGCTTTACTAGTATTGATTCATTATTTTACATTGCATGTCATTCAAAATGCAGTTAGAATTGATAGATTATATCTATTAATGCTATGCCATTATTATATTTATAAATATTAATTTTTTTTATCAAACATGTCGTTTATGATAGTTTTAGAAAATGTGTGCTTTTAAAATATGGAGTACTTATATATATTACCTTAAAAGTGTGAACTCCTAATTTGAATGTTAAATTACTATAATATCTCTAACTTAGGTTGTGACTTTTTTGATGAGTTGTAATTTTTTCGATAAGTTGTGATTTTTTTCAAAGGATTGTGATTTTTTGATGCGTTGTGACTTTTTCAAGGAGTTGTGACTTTTCCAAAGAGTTGTGACTTTTCCAAAGAGTTGTGACTTGTCGAAAATGTCATGACTTTTCAGATAAGACACAAAAAACACTTGTTCATACTATCCTTTGTTGACTATAAATAGAGGGGCTTCCTCTCATTTTTCAACCACAATTTTTTTAATCTTCTACTCTTCTTAATTCTTCTTGCATTTTAAAAAATTTAGTGTGATTTATTGACGTTGAGTGAGTTCAAAGTTTAGCGGAATATGAGGTACTACTATTCTGATGAAGTAAATCGTTCTATCCTAAGATTGTATATTACATAACTTCGAATACTTGAGGAAAATAATTTTGATGATATAATAATTATTATTTTTTACTTAATATATACACTAGTATGTAATTTTCCAATATATGAAGTTAACATGATGTAGTCTAAATTCATTTGTTTTTTATTAACAATTTTTCTTGTGATGTAGATATATGCTTCTAAATAAATTTTTCCAAAATTATTAGACTTCTTAAGAGTTAGATAATTATCACGATTTGTGTTTTTGATGCTCAAGACGAAAGAATAATTTTATTTATCAATTCTACTTGTGTGATTTAGATTGTCAATAAGTTTGCTTCAAAATAGTTATTACTATATAAACATTGTCTTTTTGTTTTACTTATTTACTATTTCTTAAATTTGAGTATTTTAGATGAAGAAAAGTTCATATGACTTGTAATAATGCCAGTTGAAATTTGTATTAGTTTAATTTTTATTATTTATTTAATAACAATTTTTTATGAGATAAATATTTTCATTAATGCAAATATATTTATATATATCCACAAATAAGGAAAGCTAATAATGTACATTAAGAGGAGATCTGCATAATATGATTACGGAATATTCCTGATCCCTGCCCATAATGAACAATTTATCAAAAGGGATGCAAACAATAGAGTAGGAAGGATTCTTTTAAAGCAATGTTGATGAATGAACAAATCTATAACATCATAATTTATATTTATTTATATTTCCTTAAAAACATGAACTCCTAACTTGAATGTTAAATTGCTATAAATTTCTAACTTAAGTTGTGACTTTTTCGATGAATTGTAATTTTTTTGATAAGTTGTGACTTTTTTCAAAGGGTTGTGATTTTTCAATGAGTTGTGACTGTTCCAAAGAGTTGTGACTTGTCGGAAAGGTCATGACTTTTAAGATAAGACACAAAAAATACTTGTTCATACTATCTTTTGTTAACTATAAATAGAGGGGTTTCCTATCATTTTTCAACCACAATTTTTTTTAATCTTCTACTCTTCTTAATTCTTCTTGCATTTAAAAAAAAATCGTGTGATTTATTGACGTTGAGTGAGTTCGAAGTTTTGCGGAATATGAGGTACCACTATTATGATGAAGTAAATCGTTATATCCTAAGATTGTATATTCCATCACCTCAAGTACTTGAGGAAAATAATTTTGATGATATAATAAAAAAAATTTACTTAATATATACATTAGTATGTAATGTTTCAATATATGAAATTAACATGATGTAGTCTAAATTCATTTGTTTTTGTTAACAATTTTCTTGTAATGTATATATATGCTTCTGAATAACTTTTTCCAAAATTATTAAACTTCTTAAGAGTTAGATAATTGTAC